TCAAAGCTTCCCCACTAATCCAACCCTACTAACTAACTTACTACTTTAAAACAAATAAAGATACTCAAAGCTTCCCCACTAATCCAACCCGTATCTTTATTTGTTTTAAAGTAGTAAGTTAGTTAGTATGATAATACAATAAGTAAACCCTTAAAGAATATACATCACATTTCGTATGATAGAGTACATTGATTCACAAATGGAATCACTTCGTCAAAACTTCATTCAAATTAAATTTAAATTAAGTCCTATAGATGGCAGGACCTGTCATAGCGGATATCAGATTATCGTTTTATGCTTCGGAAACATGTAAATCAGAGGATCTTTTGATTTTATCGTTTGTTTTATCGGTACCAGAACCTTTATGGTAAACTTTTGTGTCATATTTAATGTAGTGGGGGAAGCTTTGAGTATCTTTATTTGTTTTAAAGTAGTAAGTTAGTTAGTAGGGTTGGATTAGTGGGGAAGCTTTGACTTTAACGGTTTACTTATTGTATTATCACTTTAAGGGTTTACTTATTGTTTGATCACTTTAAGGGTTTACTTATTGTATTATCACTTTAAGGGTTTACTTATTGTTTGATCACTTTAAAGGTTTACTTATTGTTTGATAAACCGTTAAAGTGATAATACAATAAGTAAACCGTTAAAGTGATTTATTGTATTATCACTTTAACGGTTTACTTATTGTATTATCACTTTAAGGGTTTACTTATTGTATTATCACTTTAAGGGTTTACTTATTGTATTATCACTTTAAGGGTTTACTTATTGTATTATCACTTTAACGGTTTACTTATTGTATTATCACTTTAAGGGTTTACTTATTGTTTGATCACTTTAAGGGTTTACTTATTGTTTGATCACTTTAACGGTTTACTCATTGTATTATCACTTTAACGGTTTACTAATTGTTTGATCACTTTAACCTTTAACGGTTTACTTATTGTATTATCACTTTAAGGGTTTACTTATTGTTTGATCACTTTAAGGGTTTACTTATTGTATTATCACTTTAAGGGTTTACTTATTGTTTGATCACTTTAAAGGTTTACTTATTGTTTGATCACTTTAAGGGTTTACTTATTGTATTATCACTTTAACGGTTTACTTATTGTTTGATCACTTTAAGGGTTTACTTATTGTATTATCACTTTAACGGTTTACTTATTGTATCATCACTTTAAGGGTTTACTTATTGTTTACTAATTATTTACTAATCGAATAATGGGATTTGTCTTTCACTCTTATAATGAACCCACTGCCCCAAAGTTGGGAGTGTTTTTTGTTTTCTTTTTCGGTAACGGAACACGAACCACGGATCCTCGTATCCACAGCGCTGCACGCTATTTACTACGCCTGATCCCCGAATAACCTTGCACCCGTGGCTCAGGCGAACCTTTCACGTGGAATTCACGTGAGCATCACGCCTTGGGAACTGGTTAAGTCTTTATTTACGCGATACACTTTTCAATCAGTCTTCAAATCTTAAAGTATTACATCAGAAGTATTCTATACACTCTGTTACATCAACAAACTATCGGTTTTGTTTTTGTCATGGCCATTTGCCAAACAGTTCTGTCGATAATATCAAATATCCTGATTGGCTTGTCGTTTCCGTACTTCGCCAGTATATACGTTTCTTTAAAGTAGCTTACCATTAAGGGACTTTATTACTCGTTGACACGTTGGTCTAGTGCACTTGGTGGTGTTAAAAAAAACTTTAATTAACGAATGCTCTACGAAATGTGTAAACGAAATCTAGAAATAGATAAATAGCGAGATGTCATAACACTGTTCTCAGTTGTTCATGTGTTAAATAACCAGTTCACACAGTTGAAGGTGTAGTTCTCAGTTGTTCATGTCTTAAATAACCTGTTCACACAGATGTAGATGTAGTTCTCAATTGTTCATGTCTTAAATAACCAGTTCACACAGTTGAATGTGTAGTTCTCAGTTCTTCATGTCTTAAATAACCAGTTCACACAGTTGAATGTGTAGCTACATGAACAACTGAGAATTACACCTTCATCTGTTTGAACTGGTTATTTAAGACATGAACAACTGAGCCTTAAATAACCAGTTCACACAGATAAAGTGTAGTTCTCAGTTGTTCATGTCTTAAATAACCAGTTCACACAGGTGTAGATGTAGTTCTCAGTTTTTCATGTCTTAAATAACCAGTTCACACAGGTGTAGACGTAGTTTTCAGTTGTTCAAATCTTAAATAACCAGTTCACACAGATGAAGGTGTAGTTCTCAGTTGTTCAAGTCTTAAATAACCAGTTCACACAGGTGTAGATGTAGTTCTCAGTTGTTCGTGTCTTAAATAACCAGTTCCCACAGGTGTAGACGTAGTTCTCAGTTGTTCAAATCTTAAATAACCAGTTCACACAGATGAAGATGTAGTTCTCAGTTGTTCAAGTCTTAAATAACCAGGGTATATTTTAAACACACTCTATAGCAGAATTTTAACCAATTTGTTTTTAAAGATTGAAAGTGTGAAACTTTCAAAATGTGAATCAAGTCCATTGAAAATGAGTTTATGACACACTTCACTGAACTTTATTCACATTTTCTAGGTTTCACACGTTCATTTTTTAGAGAAAATTTGGTTAAAACTCTGCTTTATAGTGTTCAAAATATCAGGAAATCAGATATTTTTTGAAGCAGAATTTGAGAACATAAAACAAATGTTTAGAAGTAATTGTTTTCCCTTTGTCGTTCCTAAATAAAATAATCTACACAAGAACTCAAAACTAAATACCCCAGCTGTTGTGTTAGATGTTTCGAAAGAAAACTCTTATTTTAGTCTTACCCTAATTAGGGATTATTTCACACACGATTAAGAAGAAAATTAAGAATATTATCAACCATCGATATCCGCAAGTTCAGTTAAAATGTGTCTTTTAGAACAGAAGTGTAGGTTAAAAGGGTTTTCAACTTTAAAATGCCTCACTAGTTGTATAAGAGTTCACGTGCCTGAGGTATAACCAAAGGTGTATCGGATCTACTAAAAGAACACTAAAACCTAGAACATTGGTAATACTGCCAGCCACTGTCTAAAAGAATGTGACGTTATGTATAACTTAAGTTTACTCTTTCAAAAACTTAACCAGAAGATGAGTGCACTGCCCATACATTTACAACTGTTAAAGTGTAAAGAAATGAATATGAGGTGGACTAAAAGTTTAATATATCTTTGGTCGGAATTATTCACGAAATTTGTTTACGTTTTCGCGCAGGTGTTCTCCTTGTTAATCGAATGTCAGATGGTCGTAAACATGTACTGATCACCTTTTTACTCTCGTAAAGGTTGCATATGCCAACATTTAAAAACTCATATTAATTTGGCCCTGTGCCTATCCCCCAGTGGCTCAGCGGTAAGTTTCATGGTTAATAACAATAAAAATCGAGTTTTGATACCCGTGGTGAGCAGAGCAAAGATAGTTCATTATGTAGCTTTGTGCGTAATAACAAAACAAACAAACTATCCCCTCCTGGCGAGGAATGAGCTCCTTCTCCAGGGGTGAAACAGATACTTGTACAAATTGATACGAGCTTGTTTTTTGGTTTTTGTTTTTCTTTCTCTCTACTATAACTCTTATTTGGAATAATCGCTTACGTAGACAGTGTTGGATTATTATATATCACACTTTAATTTTATGTCTGACTTTGGCATAGTAAATCCGAATTCTTCATGTCTTTCTTCAGAGCTCATATAAATACACTTTGCTGTGAATATAGATTTTATTTGTTCACTTGTATATTTCTTTCCTTTGCTCTATGGGTTCGATTTATCCTCTGTATAACATTTCCAGAATCATATCTGCTTGAGATCAATGTTTCGGATTACCAGAAGTATTCAACAGACCGAGCTAGAAATATTCAGTATTAATCGAGTAATTGAGTCAACAGACAAGGAAGAACCGATTACAAAAAAAACAAGTAAAAACCCATTAAATAGGAATGTCGCTATCAGATGATGAATAAATACGACATCAGGAAGGGATGGAGCTAACAATCTGGGTCTATCTTAGTGTACAATCAGTCACGTATTAAGTAATTCTAATAGGTTGATGTGAAGTTCTGCCTAATTTGTAGTTTATAACTGGTAATTTCCTTGTTATTAATTATTTTTTTAAAACGTTATACTCTGGCTGATTAAGAGAAACGTATTTTCACACGACTTCTATGGTGTATATATATATATATAAACACTTTGGCTGTTGGCGGACCTTTCCGATCACGTGGTGCAAATCCTATCGGAAGAAAAACGTCGTGCAGACATGTCATAGCAGGGCCCAAGTTTAGTTTGTATCGAGTTATTTCATTCTATAACATATGCCTCAAAATCAAAAATTTGCTCAACTGTGCAGCTCTGAAAACTCCTTCATTCGGACTCCGAGGATGGTTGAGCACCAAGAAGCCAATAAAAGTTGAAAGTAAATAATGATTAACAACCATTCATTTGATATGGTTGATGACAGAGTCCGAGACTTAGCAATAACCCTATTGTTAAGTCTCAATGACAAAGTTAAATGCTTAATAATTGTTAGGCGTGATTGATGACAGAGTTAAAAATTTAGCAATAACTAGATCGTTTGATGACAGAGTCCAAGATATCGTTTTTACCAGTGTTCTGTACAATTCATTATGTAACCCTATACTCGATGATAGCCGCACGTGCTGCCGAAACGTTGCACACATTTTTTTTTTCTTCTAAAGGTATCATTCCACCTCACAATAAAGTTTAATTTTCTAAAGTCTTTACATGAGGGAACTATAAACAGGATGTAACTAGTGCTATAATCAGGGTGTGACTATGATCAGTTGACAACTTTAACAAAGATATGATTCACCTTATAATAATGAGATCTGAGCTGTTTGAACTACTACTCTTAACGAGAGTGGTTAGACAACAAATGTCGTGTTGTTGCTTTTATAGAGGCATAGATCTCACTTGTACCTCACAGTTAAGTGAAGAAGTTACACAGAAACATGATCAACATGATTATTAATTGTTTCTATAAAGGCATAGATCTCACTTTGTATCTCACAGTTAAGTGAAGAAGTTACACAGAAACATGATCAACATGATTATTAATTGTTTCTATAAAGGCATAGATCTCAATAAAGGCATATATCTCATTTGTATCTCACAGTTAAAGGAAGAAGTTACACAGAAACATGATCAACATGATTATTAATTGTTTCTATAAAGGCATAGATCTCACTTGTACCTCATAGTTAAGGGAAGAAGTTACACAGAAACATGATCAACATGATTATCTAATTGCTCCTGCTTCTCATATTTTACATTTAAAGCCTTCTCGTATTGCGTCAGTAAACAAATCACTGAAAGTCACCCGAAGAATAGCAACAAAGAAAATAAGAACGATCCTCATATTATCAATACACTTCTTTAGTAAACAGTAACAATTCGTAACAGAAAGGAAGTTTTCTGAATGTGTAACATTTTAATTCCAGTACCATTGATAATGATTAGCCAGCAAGATACCAAATAAACATACTAACTTATCTATTCCAGTAGTCAGAATGGGACCACTAGAACATAAGGGCTCTTAACGAAATTATTTGTTTGTTGTTAAGCATAAAGCTACACAGTGGGCTATCTGTTCTGTGCTCTCTGCGAGTATCGAAATCCGATTTTTAACGTTATAAGCCTTCAGACTTACCACTCAGCCACCGGGGAGGGAGACTAACGAAACAGAAGTATCAAGCCCTGTTGAAGTTCACCCTGTAGTCTTTCCAATAGAATCAGAGGATTGGATTATACTTGCAATTATCTTCAGTCCGTCACCAGAAATTAAACCTGAAGTAAGGAGGAAAAAAAGAATAAACATATTTAAAACTGATAAAACAATAGTAAATATTGCAGAACAAGAACAGACAGAAAGACAAGTAAAAATAGGCGTCAAGAAAGAAAGAATGTGTGACGAGATTAGTAACAAGGACAACAGAGAAGGGAAAATAATTAATAACAAGGACAGAGGATAATGAAGAACCAAAAAATTGTAACAATGAGGAAGGAAACACTTGCCAATTGTAACAACGAGGAAGGCAACACTTGCCAATTGTAATAATAAGGAAGGCAACATTTCTTCCATCTGTTCAACATCACAAGAGGACACATCAACAAACAGTAAAAAAATGGTTAGGTTGCTCAACAGAAAGATGTCCGAAATGATGTTTTTTTTTTACTTTGTCAGATTTTCCTTATGATGGAAATCATATGTCTGGAGTGCTTGAAAAAGCAGAGCAAGAATACTAGAAATCTAATTTACTACTTTTATTACTGTGTGTCTTGTACTTAAAATCATATATATACGTTTATACTTTTACATGTAGCTCCAATGTTTAAAATACAATTCAAGTTACCCACAGTGGATAATTTGAATTGTACTTTAAAGGAAATTTGTTTGTAATTAAGCACAAAGGTACACAATGGGCTACCTGTGCTCTGCCCACCACGGGTATCGAAACCTGGTTTCTAGACATACACTTAATGCATTTATATTTATATT